CTTAAGCACCAAAGATCCCGATTTCCTGTCAGATCTGTTATAACAAACGAGACTCAGAAATATAGAAAATTTAATTATAAGACTTCGAACTGTTGTGGCATTTTCTATCATGAACAATAAAACTCCCAGTGAATCAGGTATCCCACCAGGACTGTGACAAATACATACACAGTGGTGTCTCAATTTTGAAGAAAAGAAATACATAGGTTGGGAAATTAGGGTCTATGTTTTCCCAGAAGTTATTTGGTGCTTGCTCACTCCTTGTTGCCCTGACAAAATGTGTGGTAGGCAGGGCTGAAGTCTAAACAAGAGGCAGCCCTATGTGATTTGTCTGAAGATCACAGAGAAATTTTGCAAGTCAAGACTGTACTAAAGACACAGGAACAGCTTTTCTTCTGAATCAGGAGAATGAGAAGAGGGCTTTGGAAAGTGATAATGGCCTGAGTTGTTAGGATCTTACAGGATCCTCTTTGCAAACTGGAAAGGAAGGGAAGGGCAGACCCCAGTTGTTATAACTGCACAGGAAGCTTAATGAAGCAGCAAATGGGGTTATATATACCGATGTTCCCAAAAGCCTAATAAAAAGGGTGCTCCTCCCAGAGCAGCACAAATTGTATTTCTCTTGCACTTGTGTGGAGATAGCAGCCTAGGGGATTTTGCAAAAGCATGGTTTATTTCTCCAAATCCAAGAAGCAAACACATGGTCTTGACTTGCTCCTCAGATCCTTTGTGCATAACTTGGCACGACTGGCCCTTGTGGCGTCTGGCACTTGAACTGAAGCTAAAGGAACTTGCCACCAGCAGCAAAAATCATGTCCCAGCCACCAGAGCATGGCACACAGAACCAGATTACAGATAGGCTGCACAGAGGAAACGTAGCATGCTCATCTCCTCACTCCCCAAGTCAGCAGTTATACTATGGCTCAGTGGAAGGCTCTCTGGTTGCTCCAGATGACTGGCCCACTGCAACCGTTTTTGGGGATCTTGCATTCCTTTGCTTTAGGGACGTTTACTAGTCTGCCCCATGCTGAGAAGCAGTTTTGCTCTGGATAGTAAGATGTTGTTTGTAAAGCAGTAATTGTTTTTGCTTGCCAGAGAGGCTGTTAGGAATGAACTTGTGGGAAAAGCACCCTGGGGACTTCTGCTACATCTGAGGTAAATGGTTCAGTAAATGGCAGTGATTGGTTTCAAATGGTGCAGCTGCAGGAGGGCCCATTGGAGAATTGCCTCCACCCTTGCCAAGGGCCTGTGTTTCTGGATGAGGTGTGGGTCAGACCTGGCCTTTGTGCACTATCTGTATGGGCCTGCCCTTGAGGGGTGGAAGGCGTTGGGCAACCTAGAAGTGGTGACAATAATACTGGATTGCTCTCTAAACTTTGTGCTGCCTCTGCAAACCCTCTTCCATCCACCTAGGAACTTGTCAGTCTCCAAGAGGAGGCTTCACGGTGAGTGCTTTTGCGCCTTCACCATGTGCAATCCAGCCTCCTTATCTCAGGGGTTAAACGTGCAGGGGGAGGAGGCAATACTTGTCCCAGCAGCGGTAAACTCAGAGCAGATTTTCTGTGGGAAGCCATCTGTCAGCTGGGGAGTGGTGCTGTGTCGATTGATCAGCTCCACCTGCAGCTCAGCTCTGCAAACTACAGATCCCTGACCTTGCAGGGTGACAGTGGGGGAGTACCAGGATCTCTGGAGGCATTGAGATCCTCCATTCTTTCAGACTGAGTGAGGGACACCCTGCAGCATCTTGCTGTCTCTTCCAGCAGGTAGCTGTGGAATGCCTGAGCTTGCAAGCAAAAGGGCTGTAGGAGAAAGACAAGCTTCTTCCTGTAGCCAGGGAATTGTATTTCACCTGGATGATGTGAACTCAACCTATCCCAAACTTAAATCTGTCTTCTTCTTCTTAAATCTGCAATGTTGAACCTTGTTTTGGCTGTTCCAAGGTAAAAAAGGGAAGTGGAGAGTGTGAAATTTCTGCAGGAGAAAAATAGGACCGTGTAATGTTCTGCAAAAACCTTTAATGTCTGGAGGAGTAAAATATTCCTTTTTGGTTTTAGACTATAATAAAGCAATCATGATTCTATAGGGTATATATGTCTAAACATGTTAAAAACCCCTTAGATCTATCTCATAATTTAAAAGCTTTCCTTGTAACACCTCAAAGAGGTCAAATTCTTGCTCTGTCTGCTAGCCTTGTGGTTCTCTGTCAGTTCAGCTCTTTCTATTTTTTCCTGACTTTCCATCAGGTGTAGTCAAAAATAAGGACAAGAAAGAAATTGTGGCTCTTAGGCATTTTTCTTAGTTTGCTTTTTGTCCCCCAAAAGGCACTCACTGAGATTTCCATCCAACTCTATCAGCAATTTTCCTGATTTATTATGAGAGGGACATTTTCTTCTGCACTGTTGTCTGCCCTTCCTCCCTTGCCCCTCTCTTTCTGAGTGCTGAGTTGGTTAGGGAATGAAGAACATTTGGCTAACCCAAGTATTGGGTGCCAAAAGACATCTTGGCAAGCCAAAAGCTGGACTGGCTTGCACCTCCTTAATGCTCTCATTTTGCATAGAAGTTGCCTCTTCTTACCACTTCTGTAATAAAAATGCAAGCGATTGCTCAAGAGCAATTACTACCTGCACAGCCAAGTGGTCTGTGCTTTTTGATTTAAGGAGGGGTGATTCCATTTCTCGAAGGAGAGGAATTGTTTAGCTGGGTTGTGATAAAGCTTTCTATTTGGTGTATTGATTTTTGATGTTCTGATACACTCTGGTTAGTGAGGAGCTCTGAATTTTCTCCCTGAGCCTTAGGGGCTGAACTTCCTTCAACAGTTGGGCTGTGCACTCGTGTGGAACGGACTGTCAGTGGGCACTTTAGCTGGAGGATCTGACCCTGTTTAAAATCATGGGGAGGGAAGTATCTCCCACACTTCACTATTGTGCTTACTAACTCCTCCATGTGTGTGTTTGCAGCCTTGAAATACTAGTGGATTTACCATCTCTCATCCCCTGTTTGTCGCTGAGGAAAGCACCCAGTATTTTTTCAGACAAGACTTCGAGACACTGTGTGTCAGATGTTGCTGCAATTCAATAGCCAGGTCCTTCAGATCTTAGACTCTCTACTACATACTGTGGAAATTCACAGTCAATTCAGAGCTTCTTATGCATAAGTACAGACAAGCTTTTGTTGATTTCAATATAAAAATAAATCCGTCAGCTTTTTCTCCATAAGCTTCAAAAGTATCTTTTTATTGGACGAGTAAGTTCTTTTCCAGAGCACAGTTCTGGGAGAAGGGGGTGAGTTCCAGTGATAGAAAGTGTCAGCTGTTTTCCACAGATGGAGAGGCTCAGTTGCTGCTCCTGTTTTTTTAACTTGTCTTCAATTTGTTGCTGCCTTCTTTTCCTTTTTCTTTTTGTGTACATTTATTTTTCGGTGAGCAAAGAGCAACCCTAAGAGTACTTTCATAAGTGGGCGATGAGCTGTGTTAAAGAAGTGAACAGTTTAATTACCAAACCTCATAGGAGAGGCATGGGGATCTGGTATAGAATGTGACCCATAAGGAGTTCAAGAAAAAGAAACAAAGAGCTTAAGGCTGAATGCAGGATCAGAGCTTTTTTTTCTGGAGTTGCTGAGCTATGGCATATTTTGACAAGAGAGAAGATGGCTATAGGTAATAGAAACCATGACTAAAGAAGGGATGGATGGATGGATGGATGGATGATTAACTGGCATCCCTGCTGAAAAACAGCTTTACCTGCCAGGCTGTAGGAGAGTTAATTTGGTAGACAGCTGTTCCAAATGTGAATATCTTGAGGTAATGTCTTGAGGTATTTGCACAATGAGTTTCCCCAGGTCTCAAATTCCTGACAACCTCCTTTTGTATCTCTGATTCAGCTCTTCTGGCTTTTTGAAAGCAGGGGGGGCTGCTATCTCATTCCTAAAACTTTCTTATTGTAATGGGAATCTCTGTGGAGAGATACCATTTAATTCTGCCTTTTTGTTGTTTGTTTTTCCTACTCTACAGCAATCAGTGGGAGTTTGCAGTTGATATTAAAATACAGAAGATCAATTCGTAAGAGAGTATACTGGCAAATGCTTTTCCCATTCCTTTCCATCACGAATTGGGCAAAAAGCAGGGATTTGGATTTTATTGGATCTGTCACAAATTGAAATCCTGGTATCTTGTGAAATCCCAGGACAGAAAAGGCTTACACTATGCTGTTGGAGAACTGAGATCTGTACAAAACTGTCTTGGAGTCTTGGAGGTTATAACATGATACAAGTTCCAATTCTTGCAAAGATGAACTTGGTATGGTAGAAGGATATGAAAGCAACACCAAGAGAAATATTCAGCTGACATTTCTCTAAAACATGGTACACACAAAATCTAGGATAGTTTAGAATTTTATTTTTTCCATTTTAGTATGTTTTATGTCATTCGGAGACTGAGCCTGTGCTACTGTTTGCTTTGAGAGGAAATTGCAGCAGAGGTTCTCAGAGCTATTTGTGTCCAATGGTTTTTGCCTACTCTAGTGGTACTTTAGTCTGAAACTAGAGAGACTCTCCCCAATTAAATCAATATCAAAGCTGCTGTATATCCTTTTTATACTACATATAAGGTTATGATAATCCCAGGATTAAAACTCTTAATTTCTACAGCCATGGAATATTTTGTACATATTTTTTTTTCTGTCCTCACTTGTGTACCACTTGTTCCCTCTCTGTTAGAATCATGCCTAAGATTTGAAACCTTTAAGTAATTTCAGCAACCTGCCTTTATAAATAAAGACAGCTGGTCATAAAAAGGCTTTTACTTCCTTCCCACTTGCTTTACTTAAATTTTAAATTTTTAAAAGTCAAAAACCTTAAGCTCTGGCCAAGACATGAAGTGTAAGATTCTGACTGCGTGCCTCCCCCTCCATGCTCAATGGGTTAACTAGGAATGCTGTTTATTTCCTTTGACCTATTCTTGTTTTCTTTTTCTCTCTCTTCCTCTCTTTGACTTCCTATTCTAGGATGAGTCATCCATGTTCTTCCAGTTTGGCCCATCGATAGAACAGCAAGCCTCTGTGATGCTCAACATCATGGAAGAATATGACTGGTACATTTTCTCCATTGTCACTACTTACTTCCCTGGTTACCAGGACTTTGTGAACAAGATCCGCAGTACCATTGAGCACAGCTTTGTGGGTTGGGAACTGGAGGAAGTCCTCCTGTTGGACATGTCCCTGGACGATGGGGACTCAAAGATCCAGAACCAGCTCAAGAAGCTCCAAAGCCCTGTTATCCTCCTCTACTGCACAAAAGAAGAGGCCACCTACATTTTTGAGGTGGCCAACTCTGTAGGTCTGACAGGCTATGGTTACACGTGGATCGTGCCCAGCCTGGTGGCAGGGGATACAGACACAGTGCCATCTGAGTTCCCCACCGGGCTCATCTCTGTCTCATATGATGAATGGGACTACGGTCTTCCTGCCAGAGTGAGGGATGGAATAGCCATAATCACCACGGCTGCTTCTGATATGCTGTCTGAACACAGCTTCATCCCTGAGCCCAAGAGCAGCTGTTACAACACCCAGGAGAAAAGGATTTACCAGTCCAACATGCTCAACAGGTAAGGGAAGATGCTGGGCCAGCCTTACAAAGGAAGGGTCAGAGAAGACCTCTGAGACCAGAATAATTCTGTTAGGCCATGTAGTGCTTCAGGGCAGTGAGCCATGTTGGCCAGAACCTGGGCAAAGGGAGGCGTGCTGATGGTGGGACCCGCATTGCTGT